ATGATCCCTATTAAAAAGACTTGACCCAAGTGAAAGTTTTTAATGAACTCCGTAAATCACTCATATTGTCTTTGTTACTATTCTTCTGATAATCTTTCCTGTGCCAACATTAGGCTATGTCATTGTCAAAAAAAATTAAAAATCTTTTAAGTCTTTTGTGTCTATCGTTTTCTGCTTTAATTGTCTACCAAATAGATTCACCAAAATGAAATAATGGAGATAGAGGCTTTTGCAGAATTATGAGTCGTTGAACAGAAGTTTTCTTCTAGGACATGGTCTGCTGCAGAAAAAATGAACCCAGTTTTTACCATGCACCAACAAAGCAATCAATGACTTATCCCAAGTCAAGTCTTTCTTTTTGTCTTTTGTAAACCAAAGTCAAGTCTTTTTGTCTGAACATCCTTTTTCTGCTTCATTTTTCTCATTCCTATGAGTAGGGATGGTAACTTCCTCCGTGACTTGTGGAGCTTTGCGAAGCTTTGCGGAGATCCTCATCGTCATCAGATGAAAATTTCAAAAATATTCTTCCTTGTAGAGTGGGAATGAAAGTTTTTTTTTTTTTTGTGAAATTTTACAGTGAATTTCCTCCGTTCCCTAGAAATCCGTAGAGATTCATATAAAATAAAAAATATATATCAGTTTGCATTTTTCCTAGTCAGAATGTTGTGTGTCATGACTAACTGCACACTTTGAATCCAAATAAAACGAGCTCGTTGTAAAACATTCAGAAAAAATTTCTCTAAGTTCATCTTTATGGACTACTTCAAGCAAACAAGTACTTCAAGGATCAATTTTTTGAGGTACTCGAGCTTAACGTTTAAAAATTTCAAGCTGGAGCTCGACTTATTAGGCTCATTTAATTGGGTTGTCAAGCAAATCAGAATCATCCAGCTCGTATCTTGTTGGATTTGGCAATGACCAGTTTCAGGAGGAAAGGGCAGTGGCAGGATTCATGTGGGGTAAAACTGGCCCACAAAGGGATGATCCCTATTAAAAAGACTTGACCCAAGTGAAAGTTTTTAATGAACTCCGTAAATCACTCATCTTGTCTTTGTTACTATTCTTCTCCCATCTCTCACTCACACTCAACAACTCTTCTCCAATCTCTCAACCAGCTGTCGGCAACTCATCTTATTCTCAGCATCCTTCATTGTTACCATTGAAAATGACAGTGGTCGACTACTTGCCTGAGTTGCCTCCACTCACGGCTCACCTCTAGCTCCAAGGCTCTAACTCCAAGTCGTCTTCCTTACCTCACACAATAGCAGGTCCTCTAAATCGTAGCTCACAAATTTTTTACTTTATATGATTATTTGAGCTAGTTTTATTTTATGAATGTGGAAACCAGTGGGGTTTAAGCAGACCCATGTTGAGCTTAATTTTGATTAAAAAGCAGTGGAAATTTTGGTTAACAAGAAGCGGACTAGGTGATAATTTTCTTTGGCGGAGACTCCGAATACCCTCGGGGACCTATCATTCCCCGCGAGTATGGAGACCGAGGCTATTTTTGATCCTCCGCCAAAAATCCCCATGGGGATCCCTGGACTTGCCATTGGCAAGGATGGGGATGGGAATGGGGACGGGATCCCTGCTCTCGTGGGGACCCATTGCCATCCTTTCCTATGAGCTATGGTCCCAAATGTTTGAGACTTAGGAGAATTTTAAGTCTACAAATGATATCTAGGCTAGCAATATTCCTTTCACATTGTTGTTTTTGTAGCAAGGGCAAATTGTATTTCTTTTAAATTTGGATTTTACAGTGCTTCACTTATAGCTGGTGTTTTGAGTGCATAAAGGGTTAAAGAAAAGGGGTGATGCATGTGGAATAAAGCTTCCTTTTACAAGGTAGTTTGGAGTGTGAAAGTGTTGGCATGGAAAACTTGTAAATTTCATGGTGTAGAGAGGGAAGAGTAGGAAATGAAGACCAGAACACTTGCTAATTTCATTGAAATTCAAAAATAAAATCATAGTCTTACAATTTTTTAAAAGAAAAGGTGAAGGTAAACTACTTCTACTAAAAATATGAATCTTGTTTGCTTTGATTCTTACACCTATGTTTTGTTTTTTTTTGTTTTTTTTGTTTTTTTTGTTTTTGAACAAGGGCAACTTTTTGGGGAAGGGGAGAATTGAACCCAGCCCATATAGAGCTGGGGACAGGCACCAATTTCCAATCAGCCTTACAGGCCAGAATCACCTATGTTAAAGCTTACAAAAAGTAAAAAAGACATGTTTCACATTATTCAACTAAGACTCAATTTAATATGGTTGCAATTTTTAGTTTTTTGTTTTAATTTTTATAAATTTTGAAAATTTTTAAAGAAAACTTGCCCATGTGTGTTTTTTTTCACATTATCATGATTATTAGAGAAATACAAATAAAAATAATTTTAACACTAAAAAACAAGTTTATACTCTTAATTGTTAATGTTAAAATTATTTTAAACAAATTATCAATTTTTTATTTTTCAATTTGATTTTCATCAGTTGTAAAAGTTTTTAAAATCAAAACCAAAAAGTAGAAACCACAACCACTAAATGGAGTCTAAGTTGTCTTAGTTGCATTTCAATTTAATTGATTTTGAGCAACGTCAGTGAACAAGAATGGAGGTTTTGTGGCCTTAGTTTCGTGTCTAACTTTTAACAAGACTAAAGTCTACTTCTGGAGAAATGCATGGTAGCACTATTTCTTTGACTGTCTTGTTTCTAAATGAACCAGTATAAAGGCGATAGAGCTAGACTGCTAGTTGCTTCGCTTGCAGCTCTGCCTTGTGCCCTTGTCTCTATCTACTAAATTATGAAGGTGGCTTTCCATTTTCAGTTCTCAGAAGCTACCTTATTGCTTCCACTTCTTTTCTTCAAAACTCATCTAGCAACTATTCTGTCCTCCGGAAATGAAACTGATAAACTTTCTCTGCTGGCTTTCAAAGATAGAATAACACAGGATATCTCGGGGTTCATGAACTCATGGAATGAATCTATCCATTTTTGTGATTGGAGAGGAGTTACATGCAGCCGTAGACACAAAGGAAGAGTAACTCTCTTGAGTTTAGAGAGGTGCGGCCTGATTGGTCGTTTATTTTGACTTAGATTTCTTAATGTAAGCAACAATGCTTTACATGGGGAAATTCCAGGCAATTTGACCTTTTGTTCAAGTCTTGAAGTTCTAAATGTGTCTCACAACATGCTTGTAGGCAAAGTCCCAGACAGCCTAGAAAATCTGGTAATGAAGACGCTAAATACTCTCATTCTTGGTGGAAATAACCTAACAGGAATTATTCCAAAAATGGCTAGGAAATGCTTCTTCGCTTGTTCATTTGTCCTTAGTAAGTAACAGACTACATGGAAGCATCTCGGTTGAACTTGGAGAACTCCTAAATCTATCAATTTTTCGCATTGGTGGAAACTACTTATCCGGTATTGTTCCCCCTGCTATTTACCATCTATCCTCCCTTATTCTTCTTAGCTTAGTAAACAACCAATTGCATGGGGAAATACCCAATGATATAGTCTTAACACTTCCAAATCTTCAAGTCATTGCTTGTGGACTTAACAACTTTACTGGGCAGCTTCCGATTTCATTGTCGAATGCTTCGCAACTGAAAACCATTGAATTCCAACTCAACAATTTCGTTGGACCTGTGCCTCTGAATCTAGGAAGATTGAGTGCTGTGCAAGTGTAGGTCTTGGAGGAAATCAATTAGCAAATATGGAGGGAGACGACTTTAGTTTCATAGCTTCTTTGACTAATTGCAGCACACTCTCCTCGCTGGATATAAGTGAAAATTGTTTTAAAGGTCATTTGCGTTCTTCAGTTGCTAAACTCTCAAGCAGACTTGGATATCTATCTATAGAGGATAATCAGATTTCTGGTAGAGTAGCAGATGGAATTGGCAACTTGATTGGCCTTGCAGCATTAAGTCTCCAACAGAACTTTCTCATAGGTGAAATTCCAAATAGTATTGGCAGACTAGAAAAGTTGAATGAACCAATTTTCAAGTACAATTCCCTCCTCAATTGGGAACCTCACCCAGTTGCTTTATTTGCATCTTGAGGGAAATAATTTAAAAGGTGAAATCAAAGAAGTTAATGCCGTTCCATACTGGCTGGTATGGTCAGTATGTATCGGTTTTTTAAGTAGATCGAAACGGTATAATATTAATTTTTATTTTGATCAAAA